CCTCCCAGCTCCCCAGCTCCCCCAGCTCCCAAAGCTCCCAGAGCTCCCACGATGCCCTGAGCTTTTTTTTTTCCTTTTCTTCTTTCCTTTGTTCCTTCTTTCGTTGAGTTCTTTCCTGCGTTTCGCCGTTCCCCGTTCCGCGTTCCGGGTTTCTTTGGGCCCGAAAAGTTTCGAGATCGATCGGGCACCCGCATCCAGCAATTCATCCTCCCACACACACAGAGCGGCACTCCCTCGCACCTTCTCTCGCACCTTCCCTCGCACCCTTCCCTCCCCCCTCCCCCCTCCCGTCATCTCCTTCTAGAAACAGGAATCGTCGCGAGCAGGCGCCGTGTCGTATCCGTTCCTAAAGTGTCCGGGATCGGTGCAACGTGCAACGTGCAACGTGCAACGTGCAACGTGCAACGTGGAATGGTAGGTAATCCGAATGTTAATCCAATTCTGCCCCCGGCGGTCCTTCTGACTTGGATATCGATCGGATCATGGGCGGTGCGATGCAACGCGGTGCGGCCCCCGATCAGATGATGCCACGAACGTAAGGATAAGAAAATAACAATAGAATAGGAAAGAAATAATATTAATAATAGAATCAAAAGAATAATAATAATAATTGTAAGAATAAAATAATAATAATAATAAAGAGTAATAATAAACGACATGAAAATCGACGGCGGGTAGCAGTCGGTGACGATCAAACGACCGCAGAATATTAATAGTAGGAGTCCCAGGGCAGAAGGGAAGGGGAGGTGGGCTGCGGCGTCGATCAAACACCACAAAACAAGCATGGAGGTGTAGCTTCTGCCAAGTGGATGGAAGTGGAAGTAAGTCGTACGTAGTAGTAGTAGTAGTACTACTACTACCGTACTACTGTAGTACTACTAGAATCGTCGTCGTTGCATTGGGACCGCGACGGGGGGACGGACCGGGGAGACGGACGGGGGTATGCAGGAAAGGACCGAGGACTAGGGACTCTGTGGCACTAGTCCCGAGTGCTAGTCAGTCGGCACCCCGGACCAAAGTCTAATGCCACAGCGACTCCTTTGCCCCTTTTGCCATTATAGTTACGGCTAGTGGGATACGGTATACGTGGAATGATGGAGAGGGAGAGCAGAGCAGTACCGTCGAGTGGTCAGGAAAGGAAGGAAAAGGAAGGAAAAGAAAAGAAAAAGAAAAAGAAAAGGAAAAAGAAAAAGAAAAAGAAAATCCAACGAATACCGCTCCTAGTCCAGATCACCACCATCGCCATCGCCATCGCCATCGCCCTCGCCCTCGCCCTCGCCCTCGCCCTCACCCTCCCACCGCCGTCGAGCCCACCGGCAGATCGAGCCTCCACTCGTGGTCATGGTCCGGAGTAATTATAGTATAGGCCGCCAGTCGTTCGTCTGGGTATCTTGGCCCCGGGCCTGAGGTTGAGATGCTCATTTCGATCTGTCTCCCGAGTCTTGACTCTTCTTGCTTTCCGTGTTCCCCTATCCTGGTAGCTGTCGCGGTACAGTAGCGTGTTCTGTCCTGGAGCTGGAAGGTATCCTACTGTACAGTACTACCAGTAGTGAAAAGTCTGACTCCAAATCCCAATCCCAATCAGTATCCCCAGTCCCGATCCCGCGTAGCCGTCAGGGCAAAGCCGGGCAGAGCAGGATACCGGTAGATCCCCGTCGTGACCAGCTGCCTGTTTTTTTTTTTCTTCTCTTTTGGTCTCTTTTTTTTTTTTCTCTTCTTTTCTTTTTTCTTTTTCCCTTCCTTCTTCTTTGCTTCTTTGCTTCTTTGCTTGGTCTATCTTTCCTTTTTCATTTCTCGTCTTTCACCCTCCTTCCCCAAGTCGAGCGGCTCCTATTCTTTCCTTCCCCTTACAGTAAGTCAGTCAAGTCCTCTCTCTAACCTAGTCTCCGGAACCCAATCCTAATCCCAATCCCAATCCAAACCCCAACCCCAACCCCAACCCCGACCCCGACCCCGACCCCAGTCTGCAAGCAAAAAAAAAAAAAAAAAAAAAAAAAAAAAAGTAGACCAGCACCAGCACCACCACCAGCACCACCACCACCAGCACCAGCACCACCAACCAACCCTGGTCCTCGCCGACCGAACGAACGAGCCGACGAACGATCCGCCCAAGATCTGCTCCCTTGGCCGTCTGGCATGTAATCAAGGCAACGCTCGTATAAGACAACCCAGAGCCCCCTTCATTCAAATGAACCTCTATATTAGTTCTCCTCCCCATCGGGTCCGCTCCTCGACAAGCAACCTCGCGCCTCTCAGCCTTAACCTCCCTCTCCACCCCATCTTCACTCGTCGCCATCCTCCTCGTCGTCGTCCTCGCCGTCGTCCGCGGCATCTGGTTCCATCTTCCGCCTCTGCTTCGGCTCGTCTCATCGCACCCGCTGTTGAACTAACTGCCTTGCACGGCACCGAAATCTACTCCTGTGACTCACTCCCTCACACTCACTCACTCACTCACGCACTCACTCACGCACTCACTCAACTCGCCGAGAGGTCAAAAGCGACTCCCCATCCCCGACTACCATTCGATCCCACCACAACCACCATCCTGCACGCTTCCGACCCCGAGAGCGAGCCATCGCAGCTGAACACGAACACGAACACAACAAACACACACCCATAACACACCCGCACATCTAAAGCCCGATCGCATCGCCCGTCCTCGCATCCATCTCCGCCCACGAGCCCAGTCCGATCGAGATTGTACCTGTACCTGTACCTGCACCTGCACCTGCACCTGCACCTGCACCTGGACCTGCACTTGTACCCTCCGCCCGGCAGCTAGCTGTTCACGCCAGATCCCTCCCTCCCTGCATAGCGGCTACGCACCTCACCCACCCCCGGCATTTAAAGGTCCCAGCTCCCCGCCCAGCTCCAGTGGCGTCGTCGCAGATTCTGTCGCGAAGTCTCGGACTGTCAAAGCAACTCAAATCCTCAAGAGGAACACTTATCAGCACCATCTGCCCTTCCTGGGACACGCTCCTTCTTCAAGTCATCCTCCGGGAATCCTGCGACAAAAATTGGTCGCCATCACTGTCATCCACCCACCACCGAGTCGCGACAACCCTTCTTTTTCTCCACCTGGCCCTACGGAATACTACTGCTCTCTGCTCTCCAGCAGATCGCCATTCCTCTCTTCCAGCACCACAGTAAGTCCTTCTTTTTCTCTTGTCGCAATTGAAATTCTATGCGACACTGCACCCTGTTGAACCTATACGGCGCACATTATCACAACATCGCTGACCGTGGCCTCCCTCCAGAGCTCCCACTCACAAGCACCATGACCTTCTCCACAGAAGTTCCTGCCTGCAACATGGGCCGCGGCGCCTATGACACGACCGGCGTCCCCAAGCCCCCACCTCCGAAGCCTAGATAAGGACCCGCCAATGACCTCCCCTCCTCCGCATCGACACCCGGTCGGCGGTGAGATCCTCGAGAAGTCAACAACACCGAGGAAGATGAGTGCATCGCAACTCGGCGCCATCCCACCCTCAGGCTCGCACGCCCATGTTCCGGCCTCGCGCTGCCGCTTCCGTCCCCCTTTCCACACCTCGACGTCCATACCCTTTCCACCTACCATTTTTTCGCCCCAATAAATATCGCTAATACGTCCCTGTCTCGAAAAACGAATTCGGCCTCTCGTCTGTTCTACTGTACATTACCGCGCTCGGCACACTCGATTGACGGAATTCTGATTTCATTCCCCGCCTACATTCCAGCCATTTCCCTCTGCTCGCCAATTCCAGCCGTTTCCCTCTGCTCGCCAATCTCGGGGCGTCTCCCCCCTTTCCCCAGCGCTCGACCGTTCTCGCCACAGACACATCCGAATCAGAAAATAAGGCGCATCGCATGACCCGCCCGCCTCCTTGCTTCTCACGGAGTCTCGACCTACAGCACAGACTCTTTTGTTTTTTTTTTTCGGCGCACAAACAAAATGGCGGAGCCTGGGGCGTTCATGGTCGCATCGCGAAACCGGGCCTGCTGCATGCTTTTTTTTCTTCTTCGTGGGACCTGGGAAACGACACGTAGCATTTTGTGTCCTTACATCTTGCCTCGCATCTCCCGCGGTGTTCAACAAATCAACGGCCGCTTGCTTGCTTGCCTTCCTGTATCACCACCTTTTCCTCTCCTCGATCCGTCTCTCTTCCTCCTGGTGCTCTAATCTGGGTTTCCTTCCGAGTTCCGGCTATACAAAAAATGGGTATTTCATCTCTCGGGAGTGCAAAAAATGGGAATGGGGAAAATTTCAAGTTTGCTTTTTCCTGCTTGCGCATATAGACTGTTTTGCTTTTCTTTTGATTGTGTGCCTTTGGAGCGTGTTTGAAACCGTTTGGGGCAGGGTGTTACATGCTAGCCCTCGCGGGCGCCTGGTTGATGTACTACGGGTCGGGTGTTTTGGTATGAATTTGGGGATGGAAGGAGAGGGGAGAGCCTGTTCTCGAGAATCAGCGTGCAATGTTTTTGGTCTTTTTTTTTTTTTTCGTTATCGGAGGGGGTTCTCTTCCCCAGCTTTTTTTCTTTTTCTTTTTCGCTCAGCAACATCTATACGTTTAATCTTTGAGCGGAACGGCTCGATGGGGCTGGATCCTGGGTTTCCTGTGTTTATTTTCTTCTTTCGCGATGCAGCAGAGGTGTCATTATATACCCCCCATCATAGATTTTGTACGGCATAAATCTTCTGCAGAGAAGTAAACGGGAAGGACAGGCCAAAAGATTTGTAATTGTTTGTGTCGCTGAATTGATAGTTAGACGAGTTGTTTAGATGATTGGAGAAATATTTAATATCGTTTACCCACCCGTGCCGTCTGTTTTGATTTTTTGCTTCCTTTCTCTAAAGGAATTTGCGAGATGGATTTGAGAAGATTAAGTGAAGGGAGAGACGCGTCGGCCCATTGATAACTCATGACGTTTTACATTTGAAGAAAGAGCTCACCCTACTTTACCCCTTGGTTACAGCCCTGGGTTATAGCCCTGGGTTATAGCCCTTGGTTACAGCCCTGGGTTATAGCCCTTGGTTATAGCCCTTGGTTATAGCCCTTGACTATAGCCCTTGATGATAGCCCTTGATGATAGCCCTTGGTGATACCCCTTGGTCATGATACCCCTTGGTTATACCCCTTGGTTATACACCCCTTGGCTATAAACGCACGAAGGATTACCTAGGTACCTACCTACTACTAGGTACCTACCTTACCTACCTACCGTACCTACCTACCGGTACCTATGCATGCCACCAATCAACCAACCTACCAATCAATCAATCAACCAACCTAGCAATCAACCAACGAATCAACGAATCAATCAACCAATCAAGCAACCAATCAACCAACCTAGGAAAAAAA